CCTCGGTCGCTGGTACAGACCTCACTGCGTCCAGTCTGTAATGGCGACCTCGGTCAAGATTCTCCTATATAGACCTCCCGCTCGGTTAATAAGAACTAAATATTTCTACCTGCACAGTTTCAGCTGCCTTCAGTGACTGTGTCCCGATAAGATCCACTACTTTTTTGTTTTTACTCATGTACTTCTTGGCAGTTTTGTAAACCCAAGGGGGTAATGTTGCACTGTACACCAATGTTTGAGGCTTCTCATCTGAAATGAAACACACAACGTGTAACGAAAAGCATATTGGAGAGTTTTAACCTCATTTCCTTTCATTCCACACTCTTCCAGAATAACCGACTTACTCTGAGCCAACGCGCATGCGTGAATTTTCAACATTTATATTTTTTAGTTACCATAATTGTACGATTCTTGAAGAATGTCGTCAACAATTGGTGCAAATCCCATGTCTAACATCGTGTCAACTTCATCAATGACCACATACCTGTAAAACATTATGATCACACTATGATTAAAAAAAGCAGTAACACCAGTTCTTTTCTTTTCTTCGTAGGGCAAGTTAACGTTAAAAACTCGCAATCGCTTATTGTACGGGCCATGTTCGTTTTAGAGCAGGAGTGGATGGTGTGGGGAGGGGGTAGGGAAAGGCCCCGTCCCCTCTCCTCCCCTTTTTTCTTTTTAAACCGTGGCTGTAAAAATCAAAGATGGCAGCTATATTTATTACAATTCAATGGCTCCGTTAAAACAAATAAAGTTTTAAAGTACAAGCGAAAAGTAAAGAAACGCCATATGGATAATCCGTGAAAGAGTCCAGGACCCCATACGAAGACAGACCACCAAAGTTAAATAGGCTAATAATATTACATATGTTTTAAACTAGAAATAATATTACATATGTTTTAAACTAGAAATAATCATTATAAAAATTCCACGGAATTATTAATTAGATATATTATTCACTAAAATTAATACTTCTTAACTCCTGCCTTAATCTCAGAAAATGTGCCACTAAAAATTCGGTGAACATATTGTAATGTTAGGCAAAATACTAACGCCCCAAAACGTCAAGAATAATAACAATTGAAGAGAGCTAGCTGAAACACGTCCGGCTCCCACGCTACCGCTGACCTCTATACTTTTTAACAACAAAACACATTGTACTGAGCACTCACTCGCGCCAAAATTACCGGTACACCTTCTCTGTACGCTGGCTGCATTAGTAATGCAACGCCTCTACAACAATAGTTATACCTAATTTAAACAGTACTTAAATGCTTGCGACAAGTCACGCTGGGTGAACAGTGTGTTATTTTCTTTTCAAATACAAGTAAAATTCTGATTACTTTAACTCTTTCAGGTTCAGATTGCTATTGATCACAAGATCCATGAGTCTTCCAGGTGTTCCAATCACAATATCCAGACCTCTTTCTATTGCAGCAGCTGCCAAAGTTAACATTACAAAAACACAAATTAGTCACCTTAAGTTACTGTCACTGCCCACCAAAACAAGACAATAACATTTTAATAACAAGTATTTCTTATCAATTAGTTATTATTTTGTTACCATTGAATTGCAAGCAGCATATCAAGATTCTTCCTTCTGGAAACTTTTTCCAAGTCTGTTATGTAAACACAGAGCCACCTTCATAACCTGATAATTTATGGTACAGGGTAGCTCTATGCATACTCTACAAATTTGTTAAGAAACCCTACTAGAAGACAAATTGGGATATACTACATGTAGCTACATATAACTTATTATTAAAAACTAGATTATTGGATAATGCAATTCAAGACTTTTTATTGGCTTAGCCATTATGGTATATCAGCCAATATACCATAATCTGCAAATATGGTAAGCGTATGTGTCAGCTGAAAATTAAAAGGGAGCTAAGAATTTAATAAAATTTCATAATTTAATTTAATGTTTTTAATAAAACAATTATTCCACTCGTGCTTGTTGGATATGAGATGATTACAGCCAACTTGGCGCTACGCGCCTTGTTGGCTATCTATCATCTCATATCCAACCTGCGCTCGTGGAATAATTGTTAATTATTAAAAACTAGATCATTGGATAATGCAATTCAAGACTTTTTATTGGCTTAGCCATTATTATGGAATGCCATAACTGACTTAAGATATTTTGTTTTCTTATCCGTGGTGCTTTTCTTATCATCTTCGGTGGTTGTATCATGATATTCGGTGCTCTGGTTGCTATGATCGGTGCCAGTCACCTTATACTCGGCTCTTTATCTAAGGTACTCGGTACTTTCCACATTA